CAGTGGTTAAGCGAGCCTGGGTTCTATCCCTGCCACTGCCCCCTACAAAAGAAAAATATAAAAATGTGTAAGGTCATTAAGGAAGACATAAAGAGAAAAAATATACTCTGTTATGTGCAGAAAGTTTCAGTTTCTTAAAGATGTGATCTCTCTCTTTATGCATCTAGTTATTGAAAGACCATTAAGAGTTGGGTGCGGTGACAAAGGCTTGTCATCCCAGCTACTCTGGAACCTGAGGTGGGAGGATTGTGTGTTCAAAGGCAGCCTGGGCAATTTTGCAAGACTCTGGAAAAAGAGAGAGGAGGAGTGAGGAATAACCAATAAAAAGGTGAAAGAGTGTGTTAAGTCAGTGTGGGAGAAGATGCTTGCACGGATAACAGTCAAAGGATTCAAAATCTGTGAGATGTCCTTCAAATCAGTCTGAAGGTAACAAAACAATCCAGTAGAAAATTTATCAAAGATTAAAAATAGACAGTTCACAATTTAAACATATGCAAAAATGCCCAACCTTATTAATACAGAAGTGAAAAAGAAAATTAAAAATGAGATAATATTTCATATTTATCAGACTGACAAAAATCAAGTGTGATAGTGGGAAGTATTGGCAAGAATGTACAACAATAGGCACATGGCTGATGTCAAAACAAATTGGATCAGTAACTTCAGAAAATCAATTTGTTAATACCTAGTGTGGTTGAAGATGCTCACATCTTACAACTTAGTAATTTTACTCTTAGCTATATTACAGAGAGACTTTACACATGTGTATAATAAATGTATGAAGAATTGTTCAAGCTGGGCACAGTGGCACATGCCTGTAATCCCAGCATCTCTGGAGGCAGGAGGATCGAGATTTCAAAGCCAACCTCAGCAATGACGAGGTGCTAAGCAACTGAGTGAGACCCTGTCTCTAAATAAAATACAAAATAGGACTGGGGATGTGGCTTAGTGGTTGAATGGCCTTGTGTTCAATCCCTGGTACCCATGCCCCCCAAAAAAGAATTGTTCAAATTTTTTGTACTATTGCACTATTTGCAATAGTAAAAAAAAAAAAAAAATATATATATATATATATATATATATATATATATATATATATATAGGCTAAATATCACTCAGCAAGTATCTGGATAAATTAAGTGTAGTATTCTCACAAGTGGAATCGCTAAATAAGGGTGAAATAGTAAACTCGGTTTGCATACATAAACATGGATGAATCTCACAAACATGATTTTACATATTATTTATTGACAGATAATGATTGCACCTTTTCAGGGGATACAGTGTGATTTTTTGGGACACTTAAACATTGTGTGTTGATCAACTCAGGATACTGAAGTTATTCATCATCTCAAACATTTTATCATTTCTTTGTGATGAGAATATTCCAGATCCTCTCCTTCAGCTGTTTTGTGAGTGCTGATCACTCTTCAGTGTCATAGAACACCATAAGGTATTCCCCCTCTCTGGTTGTGACCTGGTAACCAAGCTCCCCGTGCTCCTTCTACCCTCCCTGGCCTCTCAGAACCCCTATTCTGCTCTCAACTTCCATGAGCTCAGCTTTTTAGATTCCATGCATGTGAGAAATCATGCAGTATTTGTATTTCTGCATCTGGCTTATTTCAGTTAACATTTGGAACCCCAGGTTTGTCCATGTTGCCACATGTGACACAGAATTTAATCCTTTGTGTTTATGATATTGGAGATTGAACCCAGGGCCTTGCTCATGCTAGACAAATGCTCTACCATTGCATCCCCAGCCCTTTTGAAAAATGTATTTGGAGACAGTGTCTCACTAAGTTGCCCAGGCTGGCCTCAACTTGTGATCTTCCTGTCTCAGGGATTGAGTCCTTTTAAATGGCTGAATAGTATTACATTTTGTATAGATACATTTTCTTTATCCACTTGCCTATCATCTGAAACCTTGGTTGATTTCATTTCTAGTCTATTGTGAATAGCGCTGCGATAAACATAGAAGTGCAGGTGTCGCTTTGATATATTGGTTTTGTTTCCTTTATATATAGACCCATAGCAGTATTGCTGGGTTGTATGGTAGTTCTCTCTCTCTCTCTCTCTCTCTCTCTCTCTCTCTCTCTCTCTTTCTCTCTCTCTCTCTCAAATGAAGATTAAACCTAGGAGTGTTCTACCACTGAGCTACACCCCTGGTTCTTTTTATTTTGAATCAGGGTCTCACTAAATTGCTGAGGCTGGTCTTGAACTTTCCATCTTCCTGCCTCAGCCACTCCTGAATGGTAATTCTATTTTTAAGTTTTCGAGGAAACTCCACTCTGTTTTTTGTATTGGCTGTACTGATTTACACCCCCCAACAGTATGTAAGAGTTCTATTTTCTCCACATCCTCGTCAGCATTTGTCATTTTTTTTTTTTTTTGTCTTTTTGATTTCAGTCATTGTAACTGAGGTGAGATGATATTTCAGTGTGGCATTTTTGTTAGTGTGCTTTTTTTTTTCTATACCCAGAATTGCTTTGCAACTCATCTACACCCCAGCCTTTTTTGTGTATGTATTAGGAATTGAACTCAGGGGTGCTTAACCACTGAGCCACATCCCCAACCCTTTTTTAAATATTTTATTTAGAGACAAGATCTCTCTAAGTTGCTTAGGACCTTATTAAGTTGCTGAGACTGGCCTCAAACTTTCGATCCTCTTACCTCAGGTCCCTAGTCACTGGGATGGCAGGCATACATCACTGTGACCAGCTCAAAGTGTTTGGATTTGTGTTTTCTTGATGATTAGTGATATTGAGCATTTTTTTCATATACTTGTTGGTCATTTTTATCTTCTTTTGGGAAATGTCTATTCAGATCATTGGCCAACTTTCAAATTAGATTATTTGTTTTTTTCTGTTGAGTTTTTGAGTTCATTATATATTCTGGATATTAATTCTTTGTCAGATGAATACTTTTACGTATTTCCCCCCATTCTGTGGGTTGTCCTGTCACTGTTGATTGTCGCCTTTGCTAAGCAGAAGCTTTTAGTTTGATGTGACCCCACTTGACTACTTTTTCTCTTGTTGCCTATGCTTTTACATTTTTGTTCAAAATATCCTTGCCTACACCAATGACATAAAGCATTTTCCCTGTTTCCTTCTAATAGATAAACAGAATTTAAATGAAAAGAGCAAATTGTCAAAGAATATGCTAGTATACAGGCAATTTATGCAATGCCTAAAAAATGCAAGACAATAACAGGTCTTTTTAGGGATACCTATGTGGCAAAAATATAAAATACATGAGCATGACAGGCTTCACATTTACAACTGGGTTACCTTTGTGGAAGAAATTTGATTAATGAAAGACCCACAAGAGCCTTCCTGTAATAGTTTATTTTTTAAGCTGAGAGGTAAGCGTATGGTTGTTGTTATATTAGTCTATACTATATCTTTTTGTGTATCTTAAATGTTACATATTAATTTCAAAAACTAAAAAGTATATGTAAATGGTTGTCACGTGAAGACATTTGAGGACAAATAGAAACACTGGCTTCTCTAATATTATTCAAATGAAGAGGTGTGACCACCTATGACTTATCCTTAAAAGATCACATATCTCAAAAATCTTTCCCTCCAGAAGTTCACTCTGTCCCCTTCACCCGGCTGCTTACCAGTCACTCCCTCTGAAACCTAGGAGTCTTGCTGGCTGCCTGTCTTTTACGTGCATCCTGGAGTTCAGGATCAAGTCCTATCCTCACTGTCCACACAGGCTATCTGGAACATGTCCTCTTCTCTCCCATACCACCACTGTCCCCTCAACAGATCGGGTTCACCCTGGATGACTGCTCTGATGACTAACGAGGCTACTCACCATTGCCTCCCTGCCCCACCTCCTAGTTGCTGTTTCTCTTGTACTGAGCAGCAGCCCAGATTTCTTAAAAATGAGCATCAGTTAAAGAAAATGTGGTATGTGTACACAATAGAATATTACTCAGCCATAAAAAAGAATGGCTTTATGAATTTTGCTGGCAAATGGATGGATCTGGAGATGATCATATTAACTGAAATAAGCCAATCCCCCAAAATCAAAGGCCGAATGTTCTCTCTGATATGCTGATGCTAACACACAACAAGCAGGGGAGGCGAAGAGTAGAAATTCATTGGATTAGACAAAAGGGAATGAAGGGAAGGGAGGGGAGATGGGAATAGGAAAGATAGTAGAATTAATCAAACATAACTTTCCTGTGTTCATCTACGAATACACCACCAGTGAAACTCCACGTCATGTACAACCACAAGAATGGAATAAGTTATCCCAATCAGAATAAGTCATACTCCATGTATATGTAATATGTCAAAATACACTCTACCATCATGTACATCTAAAAAGAGCAAATAAAAAAATAAATCTTAGGGCCTGGGGATATAGCTCAGTTGGTAGAGTGCTTGCCTTGCATGCATGAGGCCCTGGGTTCAATCCCCAGCACCACACACACACACACAAGCTATATAAAAAAATAAATCTTAAAAAAAAATAAAAGAGCCTCAGTGGGGCTAGAGATGTAGCTCAGGGGTAGAGTGCCTGACTAGCAGGTGCAAGGCCCTGGGTTCAACCCTCAGCACTACCAAGAAAAAAGAAAGAAAGAAATGTATATCAGTTCTAATCACTCCCTTGCTCAAAATCCTTCAAGGCTGAGATGACAGTGGGGTTGGTCCTCGCCTGGGCTCCAGGGCCCAGTGGTCTGGCCTCCAACTGCTTCCCTGGCCTGTTCTCCTCTCTCACTGACTGAGGCCCGTACAGTCATTCTTTCTGCCAGTCAGTCATTATTCCCAAGCACCTCATTTCAAACCTGGGGCTTAGAGCACAGGAGGGAAGACACCGAAGGGGAGGGAGTTGGACACACGCGGAGTGCTCTGTGTGCCAGGGACTCTGCCTGGGTTTCTCGAGCATGGGGGTGACCCGGATTGGGTCGCCCAGGCAGGGAGTGGGCCGGGACTATGGGGCTCTGCTTTTTGGTTGGATCCTTTCAACCCTTGCCACCCCTGCAGATCTCAGAGATCATCTTTGTGTCCATCTGCACCTCCGAGTTCGCCATGAAGGTCTACGTGGACCCCATCGACTACTGGAAGGATGGCTACAACATTCTGGATGTGTTCATCCTCATCATCCTCTTCATTCCCTATCTGCTCCTCAAGATCAAGGGCATACACTACCCCTACCACAACATCGCCGAGGGCATACAGTCCCTGCACATCCTCAAGCTCATCCCCTATAGCCAAGGCATCAGGGTGAGTGCCCTGGGAGTGCCAGGGTGCTGGGAGGTCAGGCTGCAGGCCACACTGCCACCAGCCCCATAAGAAGAGGTAATTTGACTGCTGTCTTCCAGTTCATGTGCCCTTCTGTGTGGTGGGGTGACCTGTACTGGCATTATTATCTTGATCTTAAGATTAGCTGGACGTGGTGGCACATGCCTAAAATCCCAGAGACCCAGAAGACTGAGGCAGGAGGATGGCAAGTTCTAGGCCAACAACCTCAGCAACTTAGCAAGACTCTGTCTCAAAATAAAAAAATAAAAAGGGCTGAGGATGTGGCTCAGTGGTAATCGCTCCTGGGTTCAATCCCAGCGGGAGGGTTAGGAGGAATACTTTGTCGCAATCTTAAGATGAACAATGGCAGGAAAGATTTTATTAGCTCCATTTTACAGATGAATAAATTGAGACCTAGGGCCACTCATCAGCTAAATGTCAGGGCTGAGGTTTGAAAGGAGTGTCTGACTACAGAGGCCTTCTGTCCCATGCTGCAAAGTGACTAGCTTTTGTTCTTTTTTCCTGTTTTGTGGTGCTGGGGATGGAACCCAGGGTCTTGCACTCTACCGATGAGCTCCATCCCCAGCCAGTAACTGACTTTCTTATGGGACAGATGCTTTGAACTACACGACTAGGAATCTCCAGCTTTTCTGGTGACCCGGGCCGGTGGCCGCTTTACCGGGACAGCCAAAGGTCTACTGCTCCTCTCAGTGGGAAGTCTCCCCACTTTGTTGAGCAGCCCAGCAAGTGCTGCTTCCCCCGAGAAGTCTTCCTGGGTTGCCCCTGTTGTGGGGTGCCCGGCCTTGCCTGAGCTCCGAAGCTTTCAGAACAAGCCTGGGAGCTGACCCCTTGTCCTCTCCCGGGCTGGCAGGCATGCGTCCTGGACACACCGTGTTTGTCCTGGCAGCTGTTCTCCAGGAAGGGGCTGGCCTGGGCCTATTTGTCCAGTCAGGGTGTGTCACGTATCCTGCTCTGATAGCCACCAGCCCTGGTCCTCGGGGGGAGAAGGGACAGGGCCTGGGAGCAAGCCCCCCCAAGTCCCTCATCTCTTGCCCTCATGTGGTCACATGCCTGTGTGTCCAGCCCTCTCTCCGCCCCTTTTCCTCCCCAGTCTTACTTCCCTCACTAAGCCCTGACTTCTTCCCCTCCCTCCAGAGCGCCGGGCCTCTTGAGGTTGCCAGATGCGGTGGCCATTTCCCTGGGCGTCCTTGGTCACTGTTTCTCTTTCTCCATCCTGACCTCTCGTGGCGTTCTTTCCTCAGGACCGTGCCCTGCGTTCTCTTTCCCTCCGCCCTCTGCATATTCTCTCTGGAGGATCTTTTCTGCTTTCTAGGACTCTCCACCTGCCCGTGCCTCTGTCTGTGACCTTCAGACCCAGTCACCTCCTGAACAGCTCATGTGCTCCTCAAGCGCATGCCTAACTGCAGGTTCATCACCTGCCCCCACCCCTGCCCGCAGGTCCCCAAACCCTGGCTCCTCCTCCACGATTTCATCTTTTGGTGGAGAGTGTCCCCCACTCCTATTCAGTAGGCAAGTCATAAATCTGAGTGTCAACTTGGCTCTTCTCTCTCAAAGTCTTGTCACGCGGGCCCCTAAATAGTTGCTGACTTGTCCACGTCTTTTCATCCCTGCCACTGTCAGCCTTCACCTGGATTCCCTGGTGTCTCCGGCAAAAGTGCCTCAGCAACAGGGGCGGATCTTCTAAAGGCACCTCAAATCATGACTTCAAATTCCATCTTCATGGGTTACGGACAGCCCTTGGGATGTGACCTAGGAGGAGGGGAGGGAAGTGTCTGAGGTGCTGGGTATTGGAGTCGAGGTCAAGTAGGGCTGAGGGTAAGGCAGGCGGACAGAAAAGGAGACTGGAGGTCCAGGGGGTCAGACAGGTGGGGGCGCCTCAGAGTGAGAGAGATCAGAGGGGGGAGTAGCTCAGCTTTTCCTGGGGCCTGGAAAAGCTTCAAGAATCACTAACGATGAGGATGTTCAGGGAGGAAGTGGTCTAGATCATGTGTCATTTGCAAAGATCCCCCGGGCTAGCCTCAAGATGGGATGGGGAAGGAGGTGGTGAGCCTGGAAGAGAGATTTCAAGTCACAAGGAGGAGTGGGAAGCCAGAAGTTTGGTCATGCCCAGAAATAGGGACTTTGCCCATGGAGTCAGGGGCTCCAGGGACGAGGCAGAGGATGGTCCCCTGAATCCCAGGTCAGTGAGGGATAGGCAGCTCCTGGAGAGGACTGTTAGGGTAATCTCAGGTAAGAGGAGATCCTTAGATGAAGCCGGGAGAGAGGGCACCATAGGACATGGATGCCAAACCCCTGAGGGAGTCACGGGAGGAAGGGAGTGGTACGTGGTGGGCTGAGGGACCACGCAGGGAGAAGGACTGATGGCAGAAGGGGCTTCATCTTGGAAGGAAGTTGTTGTGACCCAGCTGGGCACCTTGTAAGGCCGGGGGCTCTAGCTACACTGGTCTTGGCTGTGTGGGGGCAGCAGGTCAGAAGGCAAAGAACTGAAGGTGCCCGAGGTTGAGGGCCTGCCAGGGGCAGCGCCTCCTTCCAGCCCAGGGAGACTCCCTAGTGGCCCAGGGCCATATCCTGGAGCAAGCCAGGCTTTCCTTGTGAATCCAGGCCCCTGCTCAGCCTTTGGTCCTCATAGACCCATGGGCACACACCACGTGTACACAAATGTCTATCCCAGGTTTGGCCTTGGAGTTTTCACCAGAGGCATGCATCCCAAGAGTGGTTCCTTGGAGACTGATGCCCTGGCTGTGGCTCTACTGTAGCCTCTGAAATGTCTTGGGACCTGGGTTCGCAGGGGCACAGAGGTGACCCTGGATTGCACGGCTTTGTGTGCTGGTCTGGCCTGCTGGCCAAGGGAGCTGGAGCTGCTGGAGGTGGGGACTTGCACTTCCATGCTAATTTGTGTGAATGAAAGTCTAAAGGAGCCCCGAACAGAGCTGACACTCTGGTACATCCTCGGCTCTCTACCCCTGATTCATTAAAATGGCACTCTGCCCTCCACCTAATGGCAATAAACTTGCTCCTCGAGGAAATCGTTCCTTGTTGTTTTGTACATAGAGAATTCTGTTAGCTGGGTACCACGTTGCTCCTGGTCATCTGCATTTTATTCGGACAACTTTCCCTGCTGGCTGAAGCCCAGCTTCATCTTCCTCCTCCTCACCTCTCTAGGGTCCCACCATTTCCCCCTTATCCCAGGGGCTGCCCAGGAAGACTCTCTCAGAACCCTGACCTGGCCACCTGCCCTGGCCATCACCCCCAAAAGTCCCAGGCATAAGAGAATAGCTGTGGCTGACCCAGGACCCAGGAGAACGGAACTGGATGCTGAGTATTGCTTCTCCAAAGAATGTGGAAATTTAAAACCAGACATCTACTCGAGGCCGGGCTACAGACCTCGAAAGCCCAGCACTTCCTCAGCGAAGGATCTCCTGACCTGTGGGGACCTGGCTGGCTTTGAACTCATGATCCTCCTGCTCCAGCCTACCATGTCGCTGTGATTACAGAGGTGTGTCACTGCACGCGGCAATTTCTGTCCCTTTCTGGATCTGTTCATTAAAGAGGCTGCCTGGATTGTGCCTCAACCAGGTAGTGGGGGTCCCACTGGAGAGTGTGACCTTATTACAACTACTGTTCTCAAGGCTGCTTGGCTGTGTCCTCAGGTGGACTGGCCTGGAGGTGGGACAGCCAGCCAGACCTCTCCCCAGCCCTCTGCGCCCCCTGCCCACCTGTGCAGACCGAATTTGCAGGCCATTACTGGGTTTCCTGTTTCCTGTTAGCACTTACTGGTTTACTTTTCCAGTCCTTGGGAAGAAGTTCTGCCTCTGTGTAGCAAGGAGAGAGATAGTGGTTTTTTTTTTTTTTTTTTTTTTTTTTTAATAGTCAGCTCTTTTGGAATGAATCTGAAAACACCAATTTTCTTCCCCCAGGGGGACGATGAATGAACGGGCATGTGTTCACTCCTGCCGAACCATCCTGCATGGGGGGCAGCCTGGGGCTCTGGGGGTGTCTCTGCCTCCTGGAGTACCCCAACTGTCCAGAGTTCACTGTCCTGTGTCCAGCTACAAATACCCCCTTTCCTAGTGCTAATCGGCCTCTGTGTTCAGGGTTGCTGGCGGGTGGAGGTCGTGGCCTGAGGCAAAGGGTTTTGAAATTGGTCCCAGCCCTGCTGTTATACTGGAGTGTGACCCTGGCCAAGACAGTTTGCTCCTCTCAGTCTCTGACCCCTCATCCTGGAAAACTGATAATATCTATCTACCTTGAAATTATGTCTGTGAAACCATTTGAGGTAGGTGAACACATATGGAGCACTTATTGCATGCAAAACTCCAGAGAATGGAGAATGAATGATGGGGAGTCACACGATGTGCTGGGGAAGCCAGATCCCACTTCACAGGGGAAGCCTGGGGACCTGCCTTCAAAGGCAGGGTCCAGAAAGAATGGGAGCCACATTCCTCTGGGCCCTCTCTATTCTAACCTGCAGGTGGTTCCCCTCCTCCTGGGCCTGGGGCAAGAGCACCCAGGGCTGGCCCTCAGCTGAGAATCAGGAGCAGGATACCCTAGGATGTCCTCAGAGCCAGATGGGAAGTGGTTCGTGGTGACCTGAAATCCATGACCTGGGATCCTGTGTACCCTCTGCCCCTAGGTGACTGATAAGGGATGTTCGATTCTGGCAAATCAGTTAGATTGATGCAACCCTCGATCTGAGCACATTTCTGATTCACTTCATTCATTCGACCACTAATTGTTCATCATGCTGTGTGCCAGGCATGGCACCAGATGCTGGGACAGTTGTGACCTGGGGCAGACTGGATCTCTGTCCTCTGAGATGCCTCGCCTGGCTCCCTGTCCTAGCTGCATGTCCCTGCCTTGCAGAAGCTCATCATTGCCATGGGGCAGACCGTCTACACCGTGGCCTCTGTGCTCACCCTCCTCTTTGTCCTGATGTACATCTTTGCTATCTTGGGCTTCTGCTTGTTTGGAATTGTAGAGAACGGTGACCTGAATAACTGGGGGAGCCTGGAGGTGTCTTTCTTCACCCTCTTCAGCTTGGCCACGGTACTGTGTTTGGGAACAGTGGTGAGGGTAGGGGCCTTATGGGACTGCCAGGTGGCGTGAGCAGGTGGCTGTGAGGGTCTAAAGTGGGCTTTCCCCATATTCGGGTACTTAGTTGAGCCTGGGGAAGGTGGAGGCTGGCCTTCCTGCACGAGTCAGAGGCCCTGGATAGAGATTAATCTCCGTCTCTGATCTTGTGACTCCGTGTAGCATTCCCATATGTCCCACAAGGCCGTAAAACTTGTCAGAGTTCTCAAATGATACTTCATTTGGATTAAGTTTAAGTTATAAATGAAACCCATGTTACATAGCCTTTTTGGAAACAGGCTGTTACAAACCCACCCAAGAATCAGGATGCAAGGCCCAAGTCCAGAATTCCAGACTCTGTTGAACTCTTTCAAAGAGTGGAGTCTTTTCAAAGGTGGGACTAGCAAGCGGCAATGTCCTCCCAAGGACTTTGAGGGGACAGACCCCAGGGCATGCTGGTCTCCATCCAGAGGTGCCCTGCGTTTCCAGGCCACCATGTAGAGGGGCTAAAAGGCTGATGTGGGGCAGAGGCAGTTTCCTCCTCAGTGAGTCAGGGGCTTCCCTGTCACAGGTAAGATGGGAGCCTGCTCTGCTGGGCTCCGGTACTCAGCAATCCCTGTCCTGCTGGACAGGTGGATGGCTGGACAAACCTACAGGAACAGTTGGACATGCGGAATTTTACTCTGAGCCGGGTGTTCACCATTGCCTTCATTTTGCTCGCCTCCTTCATCTTTCTCAACATGTTCGTGGGGGTGATGATCATGCACACGGAGGTGAGGCTGTGCTTGGGGGTGGGGGATGGGAATGCCAGGTGCGACAGGCAGCGGTGTGGGCCGGGCCTCTGGGGAGAATGCAGAACGGTGTCTCCCTCTGAAACAGAGTGAAGGTGGCCTGGTGGGCCTTTCCTGGGCCTCACCAACTCTTGGCCCTGAGCTTGTGCATTTGCCTGGCCAACAGGAGGGTTGGCAGCTTGTGTTGGGGGCTGGCTCTGTTGGGGTGGATCTTTGTGCTGAGGGCCTGAGCCACAGGCGAGGAGAGGCAAGGGGCGAGACCAGGTCGCGGGCAGTGTGGAGCGAGAGGGTGCTCCTTACCTCTACCCTTTGACTCACTAGGACTCCATCAAAAAGTTTGAGCGGGAACTGATGCTGGAGAGGCAAGTCACCCTGATGGAGGAGAAGCAGGTGATTCTGAAACGGCAGCAGGAGGAAGTGGACAGGCTGATGAAGACACAGGTAGGCAGCGCCCCAGGCGGGGCAACAGACAGAGAGAGGGACAGTCAGGGCTGAAGTACTGGCTGGGAAGAGGGCCCTGATGTGGAGAGGGCAGGTGGCCTCAGGCTTTGTGGCCTTAGGTGAGGCAGGAGAACCGTATCTCCCATCGCCAAGCTTTCCTTCCTTGGTTTCTTTGTTTCTCTGACCCCCTTGGAGAGTCCAGGGCTGTAATGTTGGCGTCTCCTTTGTGGCAGAACTGCCCTGTGGGGCCTTTTGGGTCATTCAGCCTGTGCTTACTGGGTGCTAGGCAGCCCAGTCCCAGGTCACAGAATGGATGGGGATGAAGAGGCTCTGACAGGGTGTCACTCCATCTTGGTTTCCCCACACTTTGAAAGCCAGAGGAGGAATTAACACAGCAGGCTGGAGGTTGTGGGTCAAGCACGATAAACCTGTGAGGCCTGGTGCTGCTTATTTTTTCTGCCTAAGCTTTGGGAGCCCTGCTGGGTCCCTTCATCTTTGGTATGACCCTCCTCAGCCTCTTCTCTGAGGTGGAGATGACATCTGCCTGTCTAGGCTGTGTCTGGGGTTTGTCCAGGACTGGAGGCCACACTTAGCCACTCTGAGACTCTCACGGGTTCCTTTGTGTGCCACCTGCCCCACATTGGTGATGGTGGCTCATGAGGTTACCTCACCCATGAAGGTTCAGTCTCATCCTGGGGCTGGGAACAGGCCTCTGCCAGGGGCCCATCATGGAGGGTTCCCAGATCTCCTTGCAGCGTGACTGCCACTTTTCTGTCATTACTCACTCATTTTGCTTCCTTCTCTAGAGCAATGTTGGCAAGAGTTTCAGTGAGTTGGTGGAGGACTTCAAGAAGACTCTGAGGCACACTGACCCCATGGTCTTGGATGATTTTGGCACTAGCCTACCCTTCATCGATGTCTACTTATCCACTCTGGACAACCAGGACAATACTGTCAACAAGTCAGTCCCAGCCCCAGCCTTTCCTGGTGCCCAGGGCTTCCTCAGAGTGGGGGCTGTGTCGAGGGCCATGGGAGGGTGGAGCATCCATGACCCATGTGTAGGGCAAGCCGGTGGGTTAGAGCCTTCAGGAGAGTGCAAGGGTCCATGAATATGTAGTCTGGACTGCAAGTAGACAGGCCTGTGGCTGGGGAACTCTGCTGTCCCTCCCCAATCCTCTCTTTTTTTTTTTTTTTTTTTGGTACTGGGGGATTGAACTCAGGGGCACTAGACCACTGAGCCACATCCCAGCCCTATTTTGTATTTTATTTAGAGTCAGGGTCTCACTGAGTTAGTTGCTCAGCACCTCGACTTTGCTGAGGCTGGCTTTGAACTCGTGATCCTCCTGCCTCAGCCTCCCGAGCTACTGGGATTATAGGCGTGCACCACCGCGCCCAGCCTCCTTAATCCTTTTTGACTTATATAGAGATTCTGGCTCCTTCATCTCTCCAGGGCCTCCTTGTGAACCCCTTTTCAGGGGGTAGAGAAAGCATACTGGGTGGCAAGTCAGGAAGTGAGGAGGCTTTTGGCCTGGTTCTGCCACTACCTGCCTGTGTGACCTTGGGCAGGTCTCTGTCCCTTTCCCACCTGTCCCACAAGGAGCCACTAGTCTGATTAGATAATAAAAATGTATGTGTGAGGTCTGGGGTTGTGGCTCAGTGGTAGAGTGTGCATCTTGCACACGTGAGGCACTGGGTTCAATCCTCAGCACCACATAAAAATAAATAAAGGTATTGTGTCCATCTACCACTAAAATAATATTTAAAAAAATGTATGTGAAGCTCTGAGCTAGGCCTGGCCCAGGGCTTGTAAGCTAGCTGGCCATACTGACTGGCCATAGCTGAGCAGGAAGGATATAAAATCCTGGCTTTGGGCACTGGGGAGCCACAGTGGGATCTTGAGTAAGGATAGACATAATTAGCTTGGTTTCTCATTGAAAATCCTCTAGAGGGCTTCTGAGACTGGACAAACTTAAAAGGAGGGACCAGGGAATGTTCACTTGGGGCTCAAAAGTGGTTCAGGCACCGTCTGGACACCACAGTACAGTTCCTGCTCTTCACGCTCGACGTGTGAGTGAAATCAATCACTCCAGGGGGCCAGAGGCAGAGTAGTGGACCTAGGATGCCAACCACCTGATGTGGCTCTCTGAAGTCCTTGCTCTTCACTGACCCCACTGATCTGCCAGAAGTGGTGAATGCACCCGAGCCAGCATTGGTGGGTGGGGTCTGGGCGGCAGGGAGCCCACCCTGTCCTCAGGTTCCCTCCCCTCCCGTGGTATCTTTTAGACTTCAGGAGCTGTACTACGAGATCGTCAACGTGCTGTGCCTGATGCTCGAGGACTTGCCCAAGGAGAAGTCCCAGTCCTTGCAACGGCTGGAGGAGAAGTAGCTGGTGCTCTGGGGGTCTTGCCAACCGGGAGAGACCTCATTAAACATGGCTTTCGGAGCTGGACTCCAACTGCTCTGATGTTTCCCTGCCTTTGTGGGTTGGGCTGGAGAGGTGCTCCTGAAGTCTGATTCCCCAGGCCTCCATGACACAGCGTATCTACGGAGAGGAAGACTCACCCCGGCTAGAGGCCACATCTAGGCCCACAGTGGCTCTAGTCTCCCTAGACCCAGCAGCAAGGATCCCCTGGGCTCCTGGAGGGAGAAGACTAAGGAGGGTCCCCAGCAGCCCCATAAAGCATGTGGCCCTGCTGATGTTGGATCCTCTGAGGGCTGATCTATGTGGGACCCCTTGCCTGGCATGGCTGCCACTCTGTGGACCCACTATTGTGGAGACCTGCCTTTGGAAGTCTGCTCTGATTTGCTCTTTGGCTCCTTGCAAGGGGCACCACAGTCAGTGGCTCGGTTCTGCTGTGTGGGCATGGGAAGCAGCCAGGGAGCTCAGCATGGGGAACAGCCCACTGGCAAGGACAGAGCACCACATACCATGGCCCAGAGCAATGGCAGTAGCAGTACTTTGGACTACTTTCCTGCTGTGGTTAGTTAGGACTCTTTACTGCATCATTCCTGGCCATATGAATGCCAGAACTGCCAAGGTCTTTGTACCACTCTGGCCCAGATGTGACAGAGCCATCTGTGGGCCCTAGAGGGACAGAAAAGTTGGCACCCCCTGCTCCAAATGGGCCATCACAGAGCCCCGGTGGTGCCTACTCTGCTTCCATTGTGAGAGAGTTTTCCTGAAGCCTGTCACCTTGGCCATGTCACCTGGGACAGAGTGGGGAGGCAGGCTTGGGGTAGAGTTGGGGGTGAGAGATTGGCACCTACAGTTAGGTACAAAAAGGTCCCAGACACACACTGGGAAGTCAGGTCACTAGAAAATTCCTGGGGTGGAAAGAGTGTGGCTGGACAATAGGGTCCTACGGTGGGGCCTGTGGGTTCCTGGCCTGGGGGATGGCACCCTGAGTCCACAGGACAAAGGCAGGTAGAAGGATCTTGTCCTTGTGGCTGATCAACTACTGTTTGCTGAGCTGTGCTGGGTACTGAGATTCAGTGACAAGGAATCTGTAGTCCCACCCTGCCCCCCCCCCTTTTTTTTTTTGGTTTTGGGATTGAACCTAAGATTCTTTACTATTAATCCACATCCCCAGCCCTTTTTATATTTTTAATTTTGAGACAGGGTCTTGTTAAGGTGCCAATGATGGCCTTGAACTTATGACTCTCCTAAGCTGCTTCAATTAGAGAGATGCACCACCACCCCCAGCCAGCCCTGGCCCTCTTTGACGCTCTTGGTTGCATGCTGATTTTCCTGAGGAGGTGACAAGAATTGTTCCAATGCAGAGAGCACCTGCCTTCTAAAATACCCAGATCATTTCCATTTGCAAATGTTCACACTCCCAGGGTCACAGTGAAAATTGCCAAGAGGAATTGCTGTTGGGGGTGGCCACGTTGCGTCTCAGGCAGGGGATGCTGCCTTGGTGGGATGACTTTGTGATAATACCTGAGAGGTGGGCCTGAGGTAGGTGGGGGAGAGGCTTGGGATTCCACCATTTGGGGATGACTCCAAGGTTAAGAACTTCCAAGGGTGCTCTGGAAAGAGCACCATCAGAAGGTAGGCAGGCAGATATTGTCATTTGCTCACATTGGGTTTGGCAGCACTGCTCAGGGAACAATAAAATATATGCAGCACTCACTCTCATCAGGATCCTTGGGAATTGCCCTAGGCATCTGGGAGTGAATAAGAGATTTAAAAAATTGCCTCAGAGGGGTAAGGTAGAAAGTACCATGGTTTTAGAGTCAGGAGACCTGGCTTCTTTAATCAGCTGACTTGGGCAAGATGTCTGGTCTTTCGAAGCCTCAGATATTTCCTCTGAGAAACGGGAAGATAAAACTGACCAGCTACAGGGATCAAATAATAAAACAGACGTGAAAATGTGAGCTAAGGTGGTGTTGCCCACTCATGACTGGGGCTTCCTGGCATCAACCCTCTGCTTCTGCTCCCTCCAACTCTGCTGGGGACAGCAGCTGTTGGCTGAGGGAACAACAGTAAAGTGTCAGAGAGGAAAAGATGGAGCAGAAAGCAGAGTGGAGGTCAGAGACCCACAGAGGGGGTGTGAGTGGATTTCCAGATGGAGCTGGTTCAGAATGGGCAGGCTTCATGTCCGATCGGGAGACCTGGTCTAGAAAGGTGGCCCTGGGAATGGGCCACTGGCTTGTGGGTCAGAAAAGGGCAAGCCACCTGTAAGGGCACAAAAAGAAGACTTTCAGAGAGCAGAGAGCCGGGAGTGGATGACGTGCACAGGGCTGGCAGAACAAACTGATGGATATTTGGCACAAAGTCCCAAAGCTGCATTTCTGTTTGGCTCTATTGGCCTGCAGAGCAAACACTGGCAGATTGGAATTCCCACTTGGGCTCTCACCAACTCAAACAAGCTTGGCCAAGGCCTTTGATTGATTTGCTTTGGGCAGAAGTGCTGTGCTCGCCCTGGCCTGGCTATGGGAAGCAGGGCCCTCTTCTTTAGCTCCCAGCCCTGGAATCCAGCAAGCTGTCCCCAGCTCATCTCCAGACTGCCAGTTGGGGTTTGGAGAGGTGCAAAGGTCTGGGTTTAAGCTCTTGATGTTGCCCAGGCCTTTTCTCAGCTCTTGAGGGAATGATCTGGAATCCAAGACTGGAGGTGTTTGGAGAGTGGGCAGGTTGTGTGTGTGTGGCTTTTTTTTTTTTTTTTTTTAGCTGCTTGTTGATCCCATCAGCAGAGAACAGTCTCTATAGTGTGGCAATCCAGGGAGTGACTGAGAATATAAATTCTCCTGTTTATTCCAACAGTCCCTAGAAATCTGTTAAAGAGACACTGGAAACTTCACACCTTGATGTTGTCTTCAAATGTGGGTGAGACAGGATGCCTGCTAGGCCAAACTGGCCTTCAACAAGTCAGGTCTTGCTCTCAATGGGGTCTCCACCTGTTTTAGGCTCTGTCCTGGCCCCAAATGGGCTTGCTCCCTTATTCTTTCTTTTTCTTTCTCCCTCCCTCCCTCTCTTCTTTCTATCCTTCTTTCTTTTGTACTGGGGATTAAATCCAGGGGTGCTTAACCACTGTGCCACATCACTAGTCCTTTTTCTTTGGTTGTTGTTTAGAGGCAGGATCTCACTAAGTTGTTTAGGGCCTTCCCAAGTTGCTGGGGCTGGTTTTAAACTTGTGATCCTCCTGCCTTGGCCTCCCAAGCTGCTGGGATTACAGGTGTGCCCCACGGCGCAGGGCTCCTGCAGGGTTTTGAAAGAGATGATTTTGAATTCCTAATCAGGATTCTCAAAAAGGAGAGGTTGTGGTGGCTGATTTTAGTCACGAGGTCAGAAAACAGGCCAGGGTAAGGTGATAAATATGATGAAGCAGGATTCATCAATACATGAATGTCACCCACTTGAATCAAAGTGTGAAATATGATATGTCAAGAACTATGTAATGTTTTGAACAACCAACAATAAAAGATTTAAAATAAATAAATAAATAAAAAAGCAAAACAAACAAACAAACCAAACAAACAAACAAACAAACAAAAAAACCCACGAATGTCATTACTCTTTCCTGCAGAGAATTTTCTCTTTGCCTGCTCGGGCTTGGGCCACCCTTCTGCAAACTCTGTTTCACAAGACTGGGGTGGAAGGAAAATGGGTTGTTCTTGCTTCCTTGGCTAGCTCCTGGGTTCTCCTCCATGGTGGAGAATCAGGATAGCCAGCCCAGTAGAAAGGAATCTGATGGACCACCAGGCCTGATGAATGTGCCCGTTGAGAAGCTGGGATAGTGGAGGGGAAAAGGAGGCAAAAGCTGAGGGCTCAGAGTCTGGGAACTTTGACACAACTGGCATGAGAGACCCAGAGGAGAAAGAGGGTCCTTCAGTGTCCTTTTAGGCTAAGAATTGGACCCCTGTTGATATTCTCTGCGAGAGGCAAGTAATGATTGGAATTAAAAATTAACTTTTAGTTGTCATACATTTAAAAAAATGGAATCCCACGAATAACAGAGTAGATCATATGGAGTCTGGATTATATTTGGTTTATATACAAAATCACCTTGAGGGCTGGAGCAAGAGCTCAGTGGTAGAGCACTTGTTGAGCATGCGTGAGGCCCTGGGTTTCATCCCCAGCTCTAGGGTCGGGGGTTGGGTGGGGGGGAGCCCTTTTATAACAGAGCTCTCTGAGGCTAACACCGGGAAATGTTAAGAGGGTTTTACAGGGCTGGGGATGTGGCTCAAGCGGTAGCGCGCTCGCCTGCCATGCATGCGGCCCGGGTTCGATCCTCAGCACCACATACAAACAAAGATGTTGTGTCCGCCGAAAACTAAAAAATAAATATTAAAAAAAAAGAGGGTTTTACAAACCATGCACTGAGCCCCTGTACCAGTGTCCTCTAAAGTGAAGTATCTAGAAGAGAGTGGAACTGGCTTCTTGCAAAGTGAAATTGAAGTCTCAAAAGGAGAGTGTGGAAGAGGCCAGAGGGGGACGAGAGAGCTAAAAGTGATAAAACTCTGAGAAATTTGGGATTGACTGCAGCCTGGATAGACTTCTGACAGGATGGTGGGGTTCTCACAGCAGAGGTGCCCGCCAGGCTGTCATCCTGAGAAGGCCACTGCTCCTGGATCCCTCCCTCCCCAGGGAAGGCCACTGCTCCTGGATCCCTCCCTCCCCAGGGAAACTTCGATGCCTGGGATTGGGGCAAAAGATAAAAGATCTCTCAAAACTTGATGCTGGGCTAGAGAAGGCAGAACCCAAACAGAGGTCAGGCTAGCACTACAAAGGTACAGCCTCTTAATTTTTTTTTTTTGGTGTAGTGCTAGGGATTAAACTCGGGGCTTGCATATGCTAGGTAGGTGTTCTACAGCCCATCTACACCCCCAACCCCTTTTTAAATTTTTATTTTGAGAAAGGGTCTCACTAAGTTGCCCAGGTTGGCT